ACACATTTTATTTGCTCTTTTGGCAGTCCAGGGGATATTCAGCATTCTTCTCAAACACCACAACTTGAAGGCATGGATTCTTCTCCTTATTCATTGTCCAGCTCTCACATGCATAGCAGTATTCTTAAGGGGGTGAAGAGGAGGGTGTGAGGAAAGAGTATCTTGGACTTTGTTCCAAGACAGGATGTACTAAATGTAGCAGTTGAGTAGATTATTGAGTTTGTTTAAATCTAAGTTGTAGGAACTAATTTAAGGATTTTCACCCAAATTATAAAATACATATCTATATTTATACCTGTACATACTGAGGCTTAAAAGGTAGCCTTGTTAGCGACTTTGAATTATTAGGAAATGGGGTTCTAAAGTATCTCTTGGCAACACATAATTTTATGAGAAATATTTAATGAAATAAAACAAAATTTGTAGCTTAGCAGTTGTGCAAATCTCTCCTATTTGTTTTAAGCAAGATGAAAATCAGGTTCTATTTCGGAGAGAGTAGAGTGAATTGTTTAGTTTTGGTTTGTGAATCTTTAAAAACTTTTTTTTAATCTTTAAAAACTTTTAAGAAGATTGACAAATTTTAAATGTAGAAGCTCTAAATTATAACTGTATTTATATTCTTATTGTAAAGACTGGTTTGCACAATATTGAAATAAATGAGTAAAATGAAAAGTTTTGTATGGCTACAAAATAATGAAACTCCTTTTCATGTGTGACATTCCAAAATATATTCTTTATTTTATAATTATCATTTGGTGGAGAGAGTTTAGGCAAATGAAATTTTGAAATTACTGGGCAAAGCCGTATATGCCAGTAATATGTATATAAATTATGCCTCCTGCCTCTATTAAATTTGCTTTTAGTTGATGAAATAAGAGTGAGTTATAATATACCTAGTTATAATGTACTGCTAATAACTACTTAGGTCAAGTCATGCAGATATTTCTCAGAATTTGTAAAACAAGGAGGTTAGAATTGATTCTCCAGAATATCTTTCAGCTTTGATAATAATTAATGATTATTATCATTAATTAGTGGTAATTTATGATTAATGATAACAAATGCAATTGTAGGACAATAATTTTAATAAATAATTTTTATCTTTGAAGAGCAAGAAAGCAGTCTTCTTAACCTAGATTTAGAAAATACTTTTCTAAAGATATGAAAAAGTTTTTCAACTAGTGTCAATGAAAACTTGTAGTGGTTCTTATTATTGCTCATTTCTACTTCATGCTGACTAGTTTTAAAATTTTGTTGTTGTTGTTGTTGTGTACTCCCAGGTTGGAAGTGACCCATAGCTGACCCTTCAGTGGATTTTCAGAGGCAGTAAATCATAAGGGAAGAAATGACCCATCTTTATCCCGTGGAGCAGGTGGTGGATTTGAACCCTCATTCCTCACCACTAAGCCACCAAAACTCACAGGTGCATGGCCTCTGAAAACCCACTGGAGGGTCCGCTATGCGCTGGTTCTGACTGCACACACCACACAACGTAGGAAAAAGGCTTAATGAGCCAAGTCGTAGAAATTTAGGTCCTGTTCTTAAGAAAACATACTTCATTTTCATCTAGTTGGAACTGCCTCACAGATGACCCTCCAGTGGGTTTTCAGAGGCTTAACATTGCACAAGAAATTGCCCACTGCACAGGAGACTTCCCAGAAAGAAGGGCAATCTCCCATGGATTTGAACCATATCAGCTTTTTTTGTAAGCACACAACTCTGTACCTACCATGCCGCCATAAGGAAGAATGAAATTTCTGAAAACTAAAGTTGCAACTTTTCCCGTCTTTGATATAATTGAAAAAGGAACACTGGCCAGTTTTTCCTGTCTACTACTTTTATCTACTCCTCTGTGGGAGAAAGATTAGAAATCCCCTCCCATTCAGTTTACTGCCTCTGAACACCCTCCAGTTATGAGTCAGTTCTTATTCTACAGCTCTATGGTACATAACCACAATAACTTTATTTTTAGGAGGTGTGGTGACCTTAAGGGTCGGGAATTAAGCTACCAACCCAAGGTCTGGCAACTGCTCCACAGGAGAAAGGATGTATAATCTCCTCCCATGTGATTTACTCCCTTTCAGAACCCGCTGGAGGATGAGCTATGAGTCACTTGTGACTTGACACAATGAGACTGCTTTTTCTTTATGATGATAGTGCCTTTTTGTTTTCTTTGCTGCATGGTGAAATGATAATGACAGACTTAACTGTAGAACTTTTTTGCTATCCAAATCTCTATACCTTCCAAATCCTTTATTGTCATAAGATCGGAAACCTTAAGTCCATTGCTGTTTGTGGCATAGTCTATTTCTCATACGGTCACTAATGAATCCTGCTTGAATCAATTACACCTCGCAGCAACAACCACCACATTGTTATTCATCAATTTGATGTGCAAAGTAACGTTATAGGAGAGAGAAATGTCCCATGAGGTTTCTAAGGCTGGAATCTTTATTGAAGCAGAGTTCTACCATTGGGCAGTTAGTTGGTTGGATTTGAATGATCTGTCAATTAGCAGCTGACAACTTTAACCACTGTGCCACTGGAGTTCCTTACTCTTATCCATAAAAGTATTAAAAAATGTTCAGTGACTAATTATTTTTTTCATTTGTGATTTCACACATACACACACACACACACAGAGAAAAGTTGATAGTTCTTTGTTCTCCTATTCTATGAAAATGACTTTGTGAGTTAAAGACTTGTAGCTTTAAAATATTTAACCTTTATGTTTATGGAATTTTATAATCACAATTATTATTAGTAGAATCATTACAGTTATTACATGATGCTACATGTAAAAAGTTACATGTTAAACCAAATACATAACTTCAAAAGCAAAACTCAGGCCATCTATGATATAAATATTAATAAATATGTAAGTGGGGAAAAAAATCTGGCCCATTTCTTTTCCTACTTAGCAATTCAGCAAACTATCAAGATCCTTAATTTTCCTGTGCTTTTTCATGGCTAATAAGACTTTGAGAATATTTTCCCACCCTAAGGAATGGGCAATCTCTCATGTGATTAACTGCCTCTGAAAACTTGCTGGAGGGTCAGCTCTGGGCTGGTTCCATCTTGATGTACACAACAACAAGGAAATATTCAGAGATAGTAAAAGATCGCAACAGTATTTGTTATAACCTGTAAAAGAGAAAGACTGGAAACTAAGCACTAAATGAAATGGAGCTCTTGGTTTAATTTACTTAAGTGAACTTTAAAAATATTGTGTGACCAACTTACATACTGTAATCTTTTTTTAAATTTTCTTGTATGAGACTGTGTTTCCACTTTGTCCTGTAAAGAAAGGGGTGGGGGGAGAAGAAAAGAAGGAGCTTAGCTGGTAAAGTGCTATCAGCTGTGTCTGATTACTTTTTCATAAAGACATATGACTTCTATGACTTACAGTACGTGCTTATGTTCACAGTGCTCCTTGTTCATTTTAAGGGTTCATAGGGGCTGAAGATGATTTGCACTCAACTACTACCCTAAAGACTGACAGAGGAGCCTACTCAGTGGTGCTACAAAGACCTTGCAATCTGCTTCTCTAAAGATAGCTGAGAAAACCCTATGGTGCTCCTCTGTAGCATGGGGGATTGCCATAGGTCTGAACTGACACACACTGGGTTTGTGCATTTGTCTTGCTCACATCTGCTTATATTAGGTTCTCTTCTCATTTAAATGAGTCTTTGTAAAAGCAGGTGCTTAAACAGAAATTATACCCCATGCACATCAGCTCAAAATGAATAAATGTACTTATTGAACATTTAGTTTAAGCATATTTTATTTAAAAAGATTGACAGTATTGTATTTCATAAAATCTTTTATTTACATGCTAGACAATATTTACTTAAATGTTTCAGTGACACTTGAAGAATTGTGTTTTGTTCTTTAAAGTTGATTAATTGATACTTTGCAGAAGTATAAATATTGCACACCTTTTAGGATTGAGACTCTCTCTCTGAGTGTGTGTGCCAGAGAGAGAGGAGTGAGCAAGAGTGCTCATATGCTAATAGGTTTACTATGTTTAATTGAAGCTTTTCGCCCTTCCCCAGTGTAGAGGCTGGTTTCAGGATGCACAGCCTGAAACACCCAGAGCACTGCTAGTGAAGATACTTATATCTTCAATTCTTTCATGATTTGTATTCTTTTCATTGGTTTCAGGTCAGAAAAGTTTGAATACAAAGATTATCAAATAGGGGTGTAAGATCTACTTTTAATTTTGAAATATATAAGCCATAGAGTACCAGTTCGTACCTCATGAATATTTTATTTCTTCGTAACAGAACTGTAATATCCCTTTGACACAAGTACTAGAATTAGAAGGTCAGTTCAAATGAACATAGAACTGTATGATTTATTTGAAGCCCTGGCTTGATCATTGGACATTTCTTAAGATCAATATGCTAAAAAAAAAAAGTATTGAAAAAAGTTTGCATTTGAAAGATTTTATGTTTAAAAAAATTTTAAGTGTGACTTTCAGTGGTCTATAAATATATTTTCAGTGTTGAAAAAAAAAAAAAAAACAAAACCCAAAACCCAAGAAATAAACAAACAAAAAATCCCAAACTTCAGATGCTCCCTTTGTCAACTAACAAGAAGGAAAATCTGTTGCCAAGTGCTTGGGAATGGGAAGCATGGGATCGTTGGAGTAATGTGTGTGTTTGTCTTTAGGTGCCTGTTCCCCCAGTGAGAGAGTATGAAAAAAGATGATGATCTAATGAAACCCAGCTAATGAGATCTTAATTACCTAATAGTTTAGGTTATGAATTTGAAGATAAAGTAGTTGCAATTAGTGAAAGTGAGATCTGTTAAGTTTTCTAATATTTACTTAGGAAAAATATTTTATTTCTTCCAGGGAGCAACAAGAAATCATTTCAACTTCTAACAACCAAGTTTTAAGTGTGCTGAAAAACTGAAGAGACACTTTTGCTTTGTCTCTGATTTGAGAGAACTTGAAGAAGAAATAAAATGACAGCAGTTTAAAGTTAATATCCAGGATGAATGATGATAATTCAGATGGCAAGACAGAAAAGGAATTACAGTCCTTATTTATTACGGATAAAAATGCAAACACATATCAGCACAGCCCCAAATCACACCCTCCACAAAATTCTTCAGCTAGTCATATGAATTGGAATTCTGACAACACCGATGACATGGTGGTTGATTGTGAAACCAGCCCTACTATGCACACTGGTGAAAATATTTCTCTAAATCAGTGTGTCGAGGTACTTGATCACCAACAGTCTGCGGATGATTTGGTTAGTACGAGGATGTTAGATCAGCACAAAGATTTCATGTGTCAGCCTTCCGCTTCTGCATGTGTTTTAAATACGGAGAACACTGATTCCCTGCATGATAATTGTCATTCAATGGTAGAAGCTCAGGACCAGAGTGTTGAGCCATTGCTGCCTTTTGTGTGGAAGCCTAATGATCATTTTAACTCTCCAGGCCATCCTAATGCCTTGGAACGAAACCAGACATTTGACATGAATGAGGATAATATTAATTGCACCTTTGTAATACATCATACGATTGATAAGAGTCTATCTTTTCATACCACTGAAAGTCTTCCACCAACTGACCAGAGAGGTGAAAGTGCATCTGTATCATGCTCTGCTTTATCGTCTTCTCATTCTGATACGACAAACGTGAGAGAAAAGAGTTATGATCAAGAAAGTTTTAAAAATTCTCTAGCAACACCATCTGAAGCCCCAAATAAAAGTTTCGCAGTATTTCCTGATGTGGTGATGCAAACTGATGCTTTTGTTCCAGATATTAAAAATCAGTGTCAGTATTCTTCAGGAAAAGTCACCAGTGAGTACACACATGGGTCCCAGCAAAGACTAGTTGGAGAACAAGAGATACAAGCCCCAGCACCAGTTTCTGATGGCATGGATGTTCCCAATGGGTCTGTATTACAAGAGTTCTTTTGTTTATCAAAAGATGAACCAAATAGTGAGACACATTCACAGAGCTCATATGGGCAAAGGGAAATAGTCCAAAATCTAAGAGAAACAGTGTCCAATTGTCTTATAGATGATGAATGCCCTTTGCTAGTGCCAACATTTGTTAACAGTGAAGTCCAAGTACTGACCCCAGAGCATAAAGTCACAGTGACTGAAGACACACAAGTTGTTCCCAGTGAAAAGCATTTGGGAACCCAAAATGGCACCTTTGAATTGATACAAAATAGCCCACCAGAACAAAAGGAAACTTCAACATTTGAACTATCTTGGAATAAAAATGATATATCCATTAGTGCAAACCACACCATTTGCACGTCAACACCCATCCTAGAATCCACAAGTAAAACTTCTTCTATTTCACCTGTTGGACCAACAGAGAAATGTATTAAAGTGGAGAAGAGTAATCAAGATCTTAGAAATTTATTAAATGTGAAGGAAGCATCTGTAAATATGTGTAAAACTAGTTTAGGAAAATCAACAACCAAAACTAATGCCTCTGTAGGCAGCAAAGTTAGAAAAACAGAAATTATAAGTTACCCAAGACCAAACTTCAAAAATGTTAAAGCAAAAGTTATGTCTAGACCAGTGCTACCGTCCAAAGACCCTGCTCTATCGAAGATCACAGTGCGATCCCAGCTGTTAAGTGTCTCCTCACCCGCATCAGTATCTGCCTCAAGACAGTTGACTGCTTTGAGCAAAACACCAAGATCCAGCTTGAATGCAGACACAAAAGCAGAAATCCTAATTAACAAGACGCACAAGCAGCAACTTAATAAACTCATTACTAACCAGGCTATGCATGTTGCAACTCATTCTAAAAATGCTTCACACAGGATTCCAAGAACAACATCTCCCATGAAATCGAATCAGGAAGATGTTGACAAAGCAAGTTCTCCTAATTTAGCAAGTGAGGCTTCGTCCATTGCTACATTTTTCCAGAAGATCAAAGACATGCTCCCAGTTGAAATGGAAAGCACAGCTTGCTTGGGAATGACATATGCCTGCAACATCGATCAGATTAGCCCTGTAAAAAATGATGAAAAAGGAAATGGAGCAGCTATGGAAAAACAGAAGCTAAAAGGAGAACTTCAGAATGACACCTTTGAATATAGTTCACTCTTTTTGGTAAGTATATTTTTACCTGCTTTGGAGTATAGTGGGAGAATAAGTGGGAAAAACAGAGTTCTTTTATCAATCAGTTACTGATTGGTAATGAAAAATATTGCAGAACTAAATGTACAGATTTATTTCAGATAATAACATTTTATTCAATGATTCTTGATGTTGACAATTAGAACATATAAAAGTATACAAGGTCACACTACTCAAAACCTGAATATGGAAAAATCCTTGTATTCAATATTGTGTATAAAGCACCAATGTTCCTTTTGATACTGTGCTAATAGAACTAGTTATTTCAATATTTTAGTCCAGATATAAAGTATAATTGCTGATTAAAATCTATTTTCTACTTACAGAAATAAAAAGGTATTTGTTTTATATACTTTAAAATATAAGAAATGATATTTAAGAAATAATGCTGGTAAACAGAATCAGCTTAAAAATAGTTGCTGGTGTCTTGTTGGGGAAGGTGGGCTGGCATGGGAAGTGGAGTTCTGTCTTGTGAACAGGATTATTCCTGTGGTTTTGTTTTTTGGGGTTTTTTTTGTTGTTGTTTCTTTTTTTCCTCCCCGCTACTGACCAGCCAGTGTTATTTTGGGCTAGTAGCCTTTTGCACTACAGAGGTGAAAGGATTAGGTTAATGAAATGTTAGGATCTAACTGCAGCTGTAGTATATTGATTTCTGATATATAAACAATCTGTTTTATTCATGAACAGTGAAAGTGCAGTAAATAGTACCTATATGCATTTCATAGTACCTATAAAATAGTTGAGTAATAATGAAGATTATTTAATGCAAGACCACAAATATTATTTTTCTTTTCAAATGCTTATTATTTTGACAACAGAAAGGGACTAGTTCTCAGAGTTCTAAAAACATATGATGGGCCATTTTTGGGGCGATGGGCCATTTTGGGGGCTGTGTGTACTTGTCCTCAACCTTATTTTTGGCAGTGGACACTTACGTGTATTTTTAGCCTCACACGGGCTTTTCTTGGGCACCTGGCCTGGGAGCCAGACATGGAGCCTGGTGACAGCAGGATAGGAAGACAGATGTGAGGCTGCCAGTCTCCTGGAGGGCACATGTCTCACAGTAACATCACAAGTGAGTATGGCAAGGTGTGAAAGGGCTGTGTAGAACACCATGTGCACATCTAATGTGCACTCAGGTACATAAAAGAGAGAATTGCCAGCATTTTTTTATGAGTTTAAGAAAAACTTGATATTTTTGAGCTGTGCCAGTTTAGAGATGTTTTGATTTGTACTGTTATACTTTATTCCAGAGCACAGACTTGTTTATAAGTTCTCTTGGCCGTATGAATGTCATTTTGCTTATGTTGTTTTAAATTGGTTGGCATCTGGTGGTTCTTATCAACATTAGTTTGTAGTTGACAGATTACATAACAACACGATGTCTGTTCCTACTCCATAGGGAGTTGTGTAGCTAATTCAAAGGCCAACCTTGTCTGGTGATTCAAATAGACCAGCCATATCCTAAGAAAGATGGGCCAGCTCTTGCGGAATTTACTGACTTTGAAAACCCACTGGAGATATATCTGTGCATTGGTTTTGACTGGACAGCAATGAGAGAGTAGATGCACAGAAGAGTTATATTGTGTAATAATTTTCTGCTGCAGGCTGGAAAAAGACCCTAGTATAAAGTTTTTTAAGTATTTTTCTGAGTACAAATTTATTATATAAGTTTGAATTTGACGCTTTCTCTGATTTGTACATTGAGAAAGATTAATCATATTCCCCAATGTGCAGAAAGTCCGTTTTTCAGGTTCATAATGTGGCATTGAAGTAAGATGTTAAAATTATTCCATTGAGTGTTTCCAAATTTATTTTGTAGGAGAAACATTTTTCATGGGACTTTGCGGTTAGTTTTCATAGTTAAACATGAAGCATATTGTAAATCCTGCCCACATTTTCACAGTATTGACCTTTTTTTCCCTGTCAAACTGGTCTCAAAGCTCATTCTTCTCAATGGTTATGTTTCAAGCACCCATTGATACCATGCAGCGTCTTCAGGGCTGTAAATCTTTATGGGAATACATTATCTCATCTTTATCCTATAGAATGATTAGTGAATTTGAGCCATCAACCTTTTATTTAGTAATTCTTTACCCACTCAACTACCGGGGCTCCTCCGCAGTACCCAGACTCTGAACTTGCTCTGGACTTCTGATGAGACAGTTTGGAGGGTTGTTAATAACCTGTGTGTTTTGTTTGGGGCTAAATGAGAACTATTTAACTTGTTGAATCCTTAAACTACCTATAATCTCACAGTACCTTAGTCGTCAAAGTTTATCTGAATCTTCAGAAAGTTTTCCATTTGAGAGAAAGAATAAAATTCTAGATTAATACAAGTGATTGAATGTAAGTTCTCATTACAGAGACTCTCTGTTGGAGATTGTATGTTAGGCAGTTCTATAAACTGGTTTGTCAGCCTGGAGCTTTCATTTCTCTCAAATTATCTCCTCATTACTATACAAAGAAGAGTACAAGAGAGAAAGGTGCAGCATAGAGGGTTAGAGTGTGAGTTTCGGGAGTTAGATTTGGTTTCAAATATTAGCTCCATCATTCACCATCTAAGTTACTTTGGGCAAAATAATGTCTCCTTATGTAGATGGGAACACAAATTATGGTTTACAGTCTTGTAACTTGTGAATAAGGCTCAGGCTTCTGTTTTAAGTTGTTATCAAGTCAGTTCTGACTCATGATGACCTCATGTGTGTCAGATTACAGTTGCCCTGTAGGATTTTTCAGAGATTCTTTTTTGCAAATAACACACTAGGCCTTTTCATTTTTTACTCTTTTTTTTATTATTTAATACTGGTTTATGGATAAAGTTCATGAAGTTTGTATACATTGGTTTTCACACTAGATCTTTTCCCTTTCATTTACCCTCCCATGGCCTCCCCCCATCAAATTATGTGACCCCATGATTAAGCACCCCCTCCCAATCCTTGTACTTATTCTTCAATAATGATCTTATACAGTATTTGTCCTTACGAGACTGAGTTAGTTCACTTAGCATAATGCTCTCCAGTCCCTCCTATACTAGGTAGTAATTTACAATATCATTGCTCCTGCATGCTGCATAGTATTAATTGTTGACTGTACCATAATTTCTCAAGCCATTACATTGTGGTTGGACATTCAGGCTGTTTCCATGTTCTTGCTATGAAGAAATGCACCAAATCTTTGGCAATAAGAGATCTGCAAAGCAAAACCACAGTAAGATAACCATCTTACCCAGTGGCAGTGGTAAAGCAGCAAGTAATAAATGTTGGAAAGGATGTGGAGAGATAGGAATGCTTATACATTGTTGGTGGGTTTGTAAATGATACAACCACTCTGGAAGGCAGTTTGGCATTTTCTTTAAAAGAACATAGAAATTCCATATGACCCAGCTATTCCACTGCTTGAAATATACCCTGAGAAAAAGAACAATGAGGTACAGAGACTTGTACACCAATGGTCATAGCAGAACTTTCTTTTAAAGCCCTTCTTGAATGCAGTCCCAAGCTATTGATTAGCAGATTAACATGTTAAGAATTCAAACCACCCAACTAGAGGAATTCAATCTCCATGCTGTTGAGTTCCCTCCAATTCATAACAAACCTTCATTGGGTTCCCAAGGTTGAGAATAATAACAGAAGGAGATTGCTCAGCTTTCTTAGAGTTGCTGTTGGAATTATTGGTTATTTGTGGCTTTGGCTTAGGAACAGCTCATTATGGACTATGCTACCAGAATTCCATTTCTATCCCCCATGGATTCCTATATGTAGAATATGAACTTTTAATTTATTGAGTACCTGCTGTATACGAGAGATAGTGATTATTGCTGTGGTATAGAGAAGAAGAAGAAGAAAAAAAAAAAGAAAACAAGCCTGTACATACCTAGTGCCTTAGAACAATGGATAATATTACGGAGCAAACTGATAGGGAATAATAAGTATAGAGTTGAGAGTATCCATAGAAGTCTGTGCCAAAGAAGGGGTCTGCATAAGGTCAATGGAAGCAAGGAAGCTTGTCAAAGAAGGTTTCTAGGGGAAGTGTCATCTTAGTCACTGTCCATAACTTGAAGGCAAGTGTGACGTGGAAGGGTGTGTTCTCAGTAGCAGGAATAATGCTCAGAGACGAAAACACATGAGATGATAGTCTCACTCTACTCAGGGAGTCCAGGTGGTAAGTCTAATAGAACCGGAGGTGCAGAACCAGAAGGAGCACACAATAAGCTGAAGAGTGTGCCCTGTCCAGAAGAGCTTGGTGTGCCTTGGAAGGACGTGACTTTATCTTGAAGCAGAGGGAAGACACTCAATCCAATGGGAACTTCACAGATCTTACCCTGGGGTGCAGAAAGTGAACTGGAGGTTGGTAAGACTTGAAGCAGGAAAGTTGAATGTTTCCATAATCCTAGCAAGGGACAATTCAGACCTGTACTAAAGCAGATAGAAAGGAGAGAATCCTATCAAAGAGGTGTTTAGGAGATAAGAGACCTCTAGAAACAGTCTTTATTTAGAGTGAGTGCTTGAGTGTATTAAGGTGACTATGGAAAGAAATATACTTAGAGATGGGTAGTCATAATTAGTTCAGAATTAGAAACGATTTCTTGTTCCTCATCTATGAAACAGAGTATAAGAAAAATATCAGTATCAAGTGGATATTGTGAAGATTAAATTGATACATGAAAAGTGTTTAGAATGGTATCTCACACAGTAAAGGATATGTATTTTATGAAACAAGCCAATGGTGTGATTATTATTACTGTTGTTAAGTAAAAGTACTAGAAAGAAGAGGACCAGGGTTGTAGAAAACATTTTAAAATGTATGTTTGGAACTCTGGAGACACGGCTAATGTCAGTTTGGGTGCATCAGTATACAGCTGGTGTTTAAAATGTTTATCTAGGAATATATATATATTCTACAGAAAGAAATAAGGGTTAAGTATAGGATCTCCAGGATGGCTAGCATTTAAAGGGACAGAGGAGAGGTGCTGAGAGTAATAACCACACAGGTAAAAAAGGAAAACCACAAAGAACTTCCTTGGAAAAACTAAAGACAGAGGCAGTAGGATTTGATGCTTCCGAGAAGACTCGTAGGGAATGGAATGAGTTATAGGTTGAATTTGCCTTCTGCAATTAGTCATTTTAGAGACAAAAATGTTTCACTGCTGGATGGTAAAAGCTCATTGAACTTTCTCAACAAATGAGAGTGAATGGGTTTTCATGTCTTCATCATAAAAATGGAAATTAAGCCTATCTGATATATACATTTAGAAATAATTTTTCTCACAGCTATTATTAGTAAGGGAACAGTTTAGGGAAAGTGTGATCTGGACTAAAGTTTTAACAATTGGTTTGTTGTTGGGTTTTTTGCAGGACTCGGCATCAAAAACTGCAGCTACCTCGGGCAGGAACATATCCAAACCAGACTCCTCTAGCTTGAGGAAAACACCTTGTCCAAAACCTAAAGTAGGCCCTTCTGTTTCCTGTCTGAGGAGAAGCAACGACAGTCGAAATCTCAGTTCCGAACGGGCTTTATGTTCTCAGAGAATCAGGCGTGTATCTACTTCCGGTAAGAATAAAAGAGTTCACCTCTGGCTGTTATTAAAAGGAACTGGTCCCTAGAAAAGGATACCATGTTTGGTACAAATAGAGGGTTAGCAAAAAATAGGAAGACCCTCAAAAATGGATTGATACAGTGGCTGCAACAGTGGGCTCAAACCATAGCAACAGTTTTGAGAGTCATCTCAGGCAATGTTCAGTTATGTTGTACCCAGCGTCACCTTTTAGCACCTGATGTATTACTTTAAAGTAAAATTACGCGTGTAAGAGACAGATAAATGGTCTTGCCCCCAAACACTCACACATTTCACTTTTCATGGATCACTGTGCAGTATCCTGCACATTGAAAGAGAAAGAGATAGAAGACAAGGATCTTAATCTTTGGTCATTGGAAGCCTAGTTGGAGAAAGATCTATATGTGTATAAATGAACTTAGAAGCTGTTCAGAAAGTTGCATATGTGAATATGCAATGGACCATTATTATAAATATTAATCATTTGATTTTTTAATAAATTATTAAGTTCTTATTTAATAAACTAAATGTTTATCATATATGAAGAAATTACATTTCTTTCTTCGAATTTTGCTATAAGATGCCTTATAAATAGACAAAGTATGAAGATGGCCCAAAAGTTAAACTTTTCTACAACATTTTTTTATGTTGGTGTAAGCTTTAGAACCAGTGATTATGAAGTTATTTAAGAGTTAAGACATTTGAGAGTTACAGGAATTGCTGTCTTAGTAAATTTGGTAAATTTACAGAAATTTTTCTGTTACAAATTACAACAGGAAATGGAAAAGTCAGCTCTATTTCACAGGGGCTAAAATCCTGTTAGCCATTTCAGCCAACTGAAGAGGACTCTGCAGGGAATACTTATTTCAGCAGCTACAGCCTACCAAATTACAGGCATGTCACGTAGATTTAGAAGTGTCCTTATCAAAATAGTGGTTACTATTGAATGTTCTTGGGAGAAATGTTCTGTGGAGTTCTGTGTTATCCAGGTGTGGGAATGTTTTACAGATACTAACAAATCAACCAAAGCTTGAAGGAAAGCTTTACCTGTCTACACTTTAGTATTTTTAGGTTTTGATTTTTCAAACCTGTTGTGAAACCACTCATGTAAGAAGCTTATCACACACAGAAGTGTTTAAAGTATTGTTTATTTAGATTCAGGCTTAGTGTCACAGTCATGTGGTTTTGGAAAGCAGACTCTTTGGTTAGAAGAAGAGGGATTTACAAAGCATTTTTCTTTCCATCCTATTGGAGCTTGTTGTAAAAGAGGAATTCGTCAAGTGGGAGAAAAATAAGACAGAAGATAGAAAGACAAGATCACTGGGAAATGCAGTGATCTGTATTTTGGATTTAGACAGGAAGGTGGTTGGACATGTCAGTGCCAAGCTCCAGTTCTTCCTGTTGCTTCCGGATACAGCTCCTGGTGTTTGCCAGCTGGTGGGGTGCTCCCTTCTAAATTTATTTCACTAGGTATTGGAGCACCTTCTGCTTAGTGGCATGTGGAGCTGGAACTACTGCTCAGCTGCGTTGTAGTTAAGAGCCCGATGTCCTATAAATTATTACCTAGATGTCTTTTCTGGAGTCAGCGAGCTACCTCGGCAAAGTCATTTACCCTCCCTGAGCTTCAGCCTTCACGTCATGGGAAAGTTGAACTTAAGGTTCCTTCAGCTTTTGCAGCCCATGTCTTCCTAGGGGAAAATTGGAGTTTACCTAATTTTCTGAGTAATGACTACTACTGGTGTAATTCTGTGAGCCACATGATGCTCGAATGCCATAAAACCTGAAAGTGTACATACTTTTAGGAACTCAGACCAACACCTAGCATGTTTTAAAAGAGAGAATTCTTTCATGTAGTTAGTGAGTTCTCTTGAGTGATCAAAAGCAAATAAAACAAAGCTCATTGCTGAAGAGTCAGCTTGGACTCAGGGAGCTGTCCTGTGCGTTACACAGCAGAACTGCTCTATAGGATTTCTGGGCTAAAATATTTACGAACACAGATCACCAGGCCTTTCTTCCATGGAGCCATTGGGTAAGTTAAAGCCTTAAACTTTTAAATTAACTGTCAAGTACAAACCATTTGCACTACCCAGGAACTTAGTGAATGGTGAAGCACTTGTGTACTGTATAAAGTTATGCCTTCAAAAGAAAAAGCACATCTATTTAGTCATAATGAAGGGAAAGTTACTGAGCTTTTACCAGTCTCTGCCAAACAGGATTAAAAACTAAACTTTATTTACCTGTTGATTTGTGTGTGTGTGTGTGTTGGCTTGCTTGAGAGCATACAATAAATTAAGAGGTGTTATATAAGGAAACTTAATCACCCTCAAGTTAAAAGTAGAGCAGAAAATCAGGGAGCACAAACAGTGTGCCTTTAGATCACCGAGAGAATGTTGTCGTTTACTGTACAAAGAAGTGTTTGTGTATTAGAAAAAGGAAACCAATGGATATCCACTGTACTTAGACAAAGTTACTCTAGAAAAAGGTAGGGGCAGGGACATTTCAGTAGAATTGAGGTTTTCAATAATTCCTGTCAAAGAACTTAAGTAGAAAATCAGACCCAAAGATGAAATAGTCATTTTCTTGAAGATTTAAAATATGTAAGAGAAAGAATTGTGGTTAAACCCTGAATGTCTCTATTTTATTGTTAAAATTAGGAAAACGGAGGAAATATGAAAGCAGATTGCTTCTTTAGTGTGCATGTTAAAATAATCACTTAAGTTGTTAGTGATGAAAAATATTTCTAGTAATAATTATTGCAATAGTCTGTTCTTAACATTTTACCTGTAAGCTCATTTAATCCTCAAAATAACTCGATGAGAATTCTCTCTTCCTTTTATAGATGAATAGTCACAAGAAGGTAAATCATTTTCCCAAGGTTATGCAGCTGGGCAGTGAGTGGCAGGGCTGGGATCCAGGCAGGGCTTAGGACTCTGGATTCCAGGCTCTTAATCCTCATGCCCTTAGTTTAAAGACACACTATTAGTAAAGCTGTGAGGTTTGAAAATGAAAATGAAGATTTTTGTGCTTAGCCAAATGTTTTAGAAAATTTAACACTTCTTCCCCCCCCCCATGTTTTTGGCTTTAAATTAGTAAGTTTACCATTATGTAAATGATTTTACATGGGTTTTGCAAAGCAGTACTTCACTAGAGAGGGTGAAACTGAATGCTTCTTGGAGTCAAGGATTCTGAAGCTTCGTCTGACATACTTTCGGCCTGTTGCAAGGAGGGACTAGTCCATGGAGAGGGTCATCATGTTTGGGAGAGTGGAGGGACGGCGCAAGAGAGGAAGATGGATCGATTCTGTGAGTGGTGTGATGGGAATGAGTGTGTTTGAGATGGCTAGATTGGCACAGGATAGAACGGCATTTAGAGCTCCTGTATATAGATAGGGTCACTATGAGTCACAAGTGACTTGATGGCACATAACAATTACAGCACTGCTAAAGAAATAACGGCTTTTAAGTTCTTCAGAGTGATTGATTCAGAGACGCACTCACCACCCTCTTTCTGGGACAGTACTGGTTCTTACCAGGAATTGGGTGACAGAATGTGTTTCTTCATGCAAGCATGTGATGCCCTTTGAGTGACCAACCTGATTCTACCTAAACACTCCAAAACTGTTTGCTGTTACACTGAGTTGATTTTGATTCACCATGATCCCAGAGGACTGAAGTAGAACTGCCTAAAGGCTTTTTAAGGCTGTCAGTATTTATGGAACAGGCTGTCTTGTCTTTATCCTGTAGAGCATCTGGTGGATTTGATGTCAGCTTTTGATTAACTGTTAACTCTTAACCACTGCACAACCAGGGCTTCTTGGACTTACCTAGGAGGGCAAATGTGTGTTTATGCAATAAGCAGAAAGCTACACAAAGGGATGTATATGTATAGGGTGCTAAAGGACCTTTAAATACTTTAAGACTTTGGAGAAATGAAAATGGTTCAAGAACGAGTTTGGTAAAGAAAGACCTTATGGAGGGGGCTCTGGTGGCCTAGTGGCAAAAAAGCTGCATTACAATGCTGAAGGTGTGTGTGGTTCAAATCCACCAGGTGCTCCACTGTGCCAGTCAGATCCAACTCTATGGTACGTGACCATAAAGAAAAAAAGAAAAAAAGACCTCATGAAAGATATGAATCTTTAGATCTTTTCTAGAAAAAGATCAATACATTTCACAAAGGTAAGCCTACCTTTTAAGATAATTTTTAAACATTTTGTTGTTGAAAATATACACAGCAAAACACAGCAATTTAATGCATCTATATGTACAATTCAGTGACTTTGATTACATTTTTTAGGTTGTATAGCTAATTGCAACCTGAATTGTTCTTACGCCATTAACATAAGTTCACTGTGCCATTAGATTCCCATATACTATTTTATGTTATTATCAATTTTATTCTATATCAAAGGTTCTTTAAAATAGCACAGGACTCGTTTAAACACATCAGTCTTTGTTAACTTACTAAGCCTGACCATTTTGGTTTAAAGATGATTCTAGGAGATATTTTTCGTTTAAGATTTAAAGACAACCTTGGGACATAGTTTGAAAGGTTCATATAGCCTTAATGATTGTTGCAGTATGGATTGAATAAGAATTTGAAATGCTCCTGCACTGGATAAACATTTATTTCAATTCAGTTTATCATGGAAAATAAATTCTTTGAAAACCACTAATATAATAATACAACTTTTAATCACTTGCCTTACATTAATAATTTCTTTCTTGATGAGTTATTGTCTTCTCAGTTATTTATGGAAGGTTTTTTTTTTGTTTTGTTTTTTTATTTAGCTTTCAAGAGTGTTTGATTTTTTTCCAATTTCTTTTTCTACCCTTTCAACCTTTTTTGGGTAAGATTCTGTGAGATGTGATGTGACCAAAAAAAAACACAACAACCCATAAAACATTTATTTAAAACTAATGAAAATTGTTAAAAACCAAAAACTATCACCAAAAATTAGTCTAAAAACTAACTTTAATATCCTGTTTATAAATAATTC